ATGCTGTCCCCAGGCTGGGAGGTGGAGGCACCAGGGTTACCACACAAACACTGTGGACTCAGAGCCCCAGGACACTTCACAGTTCTCAGCTCTGCCCCAACTCCTCTTTGAGTTTCCTCCCCACTGAACCACCAGCCAGGCCTAACACTCCACCACCGCATGTTGATGCCTCGCCTACCTTCCTGCCCCAGCCACTTCCTGCTCCCCTAGATACTGGCTTCTGTCCCACAGATCAGAGCCCAGGAGACAGGGGTCTCCCGGTGCTTTGATGAGTGCTAAAGAGCCCTACAGATGCCTGGAAGCCCTTGGCAGAGCCCAGAAATCTATTTTCAGGATAAGCTCCGTTCAACCCATCATGCTAGGATGCCCCACCCTCTTTGCCTCCACCCAAGCCTGCAAGCAAATATGTGAATCTGTTCGGACAAGGCCAGGCCCAGCTGGCCTGAGAACCTGCTACCAAGAAACTCCCTCCCCCAGGAATGAAGGTGGGAGAGAGAGCCCACTTTTGTGTGTGTGTGTGTGTGGTGTGTGTGTGTGTGTGTGTGTGTTGCAATGGGCATGAGTCAGCCATGTGCCCAGGGCTAGGGGGATCAGCCAGAGCAGGACTGGAGGTCTGTTTTTCTCCATCCATCTCTCCGTCAGTTATTCAGAAGACTTTATTGGACTTCACTGTCTTAGTGCCAGAGTGAGGAGGATGCACCAGACCCAAAGAACTGGCCTCAGAGCCCCATCTGCTGGTCTCCTGCCTCCAAGGGCCCCTAGGCCCTCAGGCTTCCTCCAATGGAGAATGGACTGTAGCAATACTTCACAGCCAACCAATTAGCAAGCTCATTCTTCCAGAATCACGGACTTTAAGCCCCTTCTACCTCTGCCACTCAGGTCCAGGCTACCTTCAAGGTTCCTAGCCCAGCGGACCTCCCCCACCCACCTACCCAGGGACTGTGTGGTGCTGGGAAAACAGTCAGGGGATGCCTACTACACAGAGCTACTCTCCTACTCCAGAACCTGTGCTCTGGCCATTTCCCTGCCCACAGCAGTCCTCCCCTAGGAACACCCTCCTCTTGGGCCCTCCCGTCCTCAGGGTGTCTCTCAAAGGGGCAGCTTTACTGTGAGGCCTGCCTCTGCCCCTTGACACTGCCACCCCTCCTCTTAACCAACACTGAGGAGGATTTTTATTTATCTCTTATGCTTCCTTCCCTGGAGAAAAGACTCCAGGAAGACAAGATTTCATCTGCTGTCTACTCCCCTCAGGGCCTGCCTGGCCCACAGCATGGAGCTCACTAAATAGCTATTGAATGAGAAGGTGACCATTTCCTCTTGTTCCCACAAAGCCACAGTGGTTTTTCTCAAAAACACATTGCTAAGCTGAGAGTGTGGCTCAGTTGGTAGAGTGCTTGCCTTGCATGCAAAAGACCCTGAATTGGATTCCTAACACCACATAACCCAGGAGTAGTGGTACATGCCTGCAATCCCAGCACTCAGAAGGTAGAGGCAGGAGGATCAGAAGTTCAAAGTCACCCTTGACTGCATAGCTACTTCAAGGTCAGCCCCCAAACCAAACCAAACCAAACAAATAATACCTTTAGGTTTTAAGGTCAATGTTACTTCCTCAGAAGCCTTCTCTGCCCCTCTGTGAGCTCCCAGGTCCCCCTGCCCAAATACTAGTCTCTCCTCTGACTAGTGAGCTGGAGACGAGGTGTGGGTGGGAAGTTCTCTTTCATTCACCAGATCGCCCTGTTTGGTGGTTAGAGGAATGTTTGGTCCTGGCCAAGTCATGGGAATACAGGGAATACAGGGAGCAAAGTGGCATAAGCTCCCTGAGCCTTAGTTTTCTCCTCTGTAAAATGGAAATGATAATAGTACCTCCTTTATAGGAAATGATAATAGAGGCCAGGAGTGGTGGAGCACACCTTTAATCCCAGCACTCAGGAGGCAGAGGCAGGCAGATCTCTATGAGTTCAAGGCCAGCCTGGTCTACATAGTGACTTCCAGGACAGCTGGGGCTACAGGGAGATCCTA